GTGGGCTAGTATTCCTCTAGTAGTGGGCTAACTAGTATTCCTGTAGTAGTGGGCAAGTATTCCTGTAGTAGTGGGCTAGTATTCCTGTAGTAGCGGGCTAGTATTCCTGTAGTAGTGGCACTACTACAGGAATACTAGCCCGCTACTACAGGAATACTAGCCCACTACTACAGGAATACTTGCCCACTACTACAGGAATACTAGTTAGCCCACTACTACAGGAATACTAGCCCACTACTACAGGAATACTAGCCCACTACTACAGTGTGTTTCAGAAACAAAATTCAGCACACCACCACATTCAAAACTAACTTTAATATGAATACTGCATTTAAAACAGAAAAATTACAACATGGCATCCGAAGGGTCATCCATGCTCATGCCCAACAACTTACCTGCGAACAGGCATACTCTGGAAACGAGATTGAGTTTGATTGAGTTTGCGTACGAGGCGGTTGCAAAGCGTTTTTACGAGTAAAACGTTTTTAGAGAGTTTTTATAGACTAAACTTGGAGGGTTTTTTGAAAAATAAAAAGTATTTGGAGGTCGGGGGCTTTTCGAAGGTCGGCGAGGTCGCTAAACAAATACTTTTTTTATGTGGCCTAACCATAATAAATAGTTTTAAACTTTACAGAGGAGAGTGGTGCTTTTAACACTTATTAGTGGCATTTCCACAAATAATTGATTGTAGACGTCCATCGAGTATCTTCGATGTTTCAGGGTCTAAACTATGTCCAAACGCATTCAGACTCTTTAAGTAACAATCTGTCATTCTCCGTATCAATTGAGGCATGTCAGGCGCAATACGGAACGAATAGATTGTGGTAATTTTTACCCCAAAATCTCGCATTGCCACCCCTACATATGCGTCGTCTGTGTGAAACGGTTTTCTTACATAGACATAGTTAAATAATCTATTGAGAAGGTCGCTGGACAGAATAAAGAATGCTCCAGGATTAAATCGAGGCCAATCCTTTTCTCCATAATATTTCCAACTAACTGTCCATTTTCCACCGATTTTGCGATTCACAAGAGTTCCTGCGTACGTCCAACCTCCGTAAAATGGTCTTGGAAACTTAGCATTGACAAGATATTCCAACACACGTGGTATGCGCACATAAACATCATCGTCTGTTTTCATTGTGTATTTTATATCAAATTTACTTGCCCACACTTGACCCATGTAGAACTTTACAACATTATTAATATAGTTGTCTGTGATATTTCCTATCAACATATCATTGTGTTGTCTAGCTTCGGCCATGTTTAGTTCATCATCGTTCGTTCCCAGTCCTGCTTTTCCAACAACAAATACGAGTAGCCACCTTAAATCTTTCAGTCTTTCATCTCGCAAAGCTTTACGTTGTTCACAATTGCTTCGATTTCCCCAGGTTTGTCGGATAGCTTCGCGACGTTTTCGGTAGCTGTCGCCTCCTGCGGCAGTATTGACTAAGACGATCATGAAAATATCCTGCTTTCTGTCAACTTTGGGTGAAATATCCGGCGAAACGATTTTAAAATCTACGAAAGGGTAATAATCGTTTACTATATCAATTGAAGGTTTTGCCGTTGGCTTTGCTGCGGGTACCTGTGGAGACGTAAGGGATGATTTTGAATATCTGTCATTAGACGTCTTAATTATAGTCATGGTATCTTGCTTTTCCGTACTACTTTTCATCTTCGAATTAGAAGGAGCCGTTGGATTCCCAATTAGTTTCCTGTGCGAGCGCACTGAGCCGAGTTTGAAAAACTGGTTGCGAGTTGCTGCTAGCCAAGTTGATGAGTTATTCTGATATACAATGAACCATACCAGAAACACTTGACCCATAATCATAATGCCAAATGCGAGTAATTTGCGTCGACACCGTCTCAAAATCATAATGAAATTAAGCCGTGTGGAAACCCCTGATATCGTTATGTCCTCGTATTCTTCCTCGTGTGATTGAATTTCTGAAAACCAATATTTTACAGTAAGATGAAATAAGTGACCAAATGTTCCAACATTCGAAGTCTCGTTTCAATTACATCACGCAGTGGAGTCGGATTAATAATTGATGACTTGTGTCGTTGCCTCAAATTAAGCCAAATTTGCGCTGATCAATTGTTGATGAGCACGAGAAGTAACCTCGCAACCCAGGCTCTTGTGGGAGCCTATGATGGGAGCTTCCCTTCCAAACACGTTCCACTGCTTCCCTCCTGCAAACACGCCGTAGAGAACGTGAAGTAGAGAGCCTGGAGAGCCTTTTTGTCCTAGAGAGTCTGACTTGCGAGGTTGCACGGGAAGTGTCCACAAATTAAGATGATCCCACTCTCTGTTCACCTTTGACCAGACATGACTTGGTGTAAAAATAAATAATATGCCTTATATTGCCGCTTTTATAGAGCTAAATCCACAGCTGCCTGGAAAATATGTGCCGAAGCCGATTGCTAGTGGATGAGACAAGTAATACGATATTCTCATATGCCGATATGCCACAATGGCAATGTTGACGTATAGTTATATAAAGACATTGCAGGTAAACGGTGTACATATTCAAATTCACGCAACAGCAATTTTGCAGCAAAACATTTCATCAGCCGATTGTAGGCTCATAAAATTTAAAACAAGGTTTGCTGATCGCGGACTTTCCAAGATAAAATACGAGAAACTATATAAACACCGCGTAAAAGCAAACAAACCCATAGCCGCCTACAGGTGTCGCGTAGGCTGAAGATTAGAATTGACATATATTATTAAAGATCCTTAGTATTTTAATATCTGCCAGCTAACACGTGTTTCAGTTAAATAAATATAAAAACGTGCTGCAAAACAAGCAGAATGCATGCAATATTTTACACTGGCATAGGAAGCAATTTTGTTTTGGGGGGCTGATTAGTCAGGGGCGATTATTATAGGTCATTATTTCTTTCTTATTCCCCAAACTTAACAGATTATCGCTAGTTGACAAATTATTGGGGAGGGGGGTGGCTGAAGCCAGCCTCCCCCGTGTCTACGGCCCTGTTTTATTACTTCCCCCGTTCTGTATGTTGCGTATAATTCATTAAGCTTCGCTTAAAAGTAATGAAAAAGCAAATATTTACGAAGAAGATTATTGAATCTTATTATTATTTTGTCCATGATAATTGAACGAGGACTTGAAAGAACAGAACAAATTTAGGTGAAGAATAATCAGATTGTTAACATACACACATACACACACACATACATGGCTTTTATTCCATCACGCTATAGCCTTTCTCAACTTTTTAAAATACAAACTAAAGGCCCTGTCACACTATTGCGTATGAGAGAAGCGTATGGAAATTAATGAAATAATTTTACATACGCACAAAATTACAAAAATCCCTTGAAATGCCAGCGTATTCAGCGTGTGCCTATAGCGTATGCTTATCCTATACCATACGCCAGAATACGCACAAAATTTAAAAAATGTTTCTGCCTCATCGTATGCCACCGTATGCGACAAGTGCTTGAAACGTATACAACCTATGCTTAATACCGTATGTCAGCGTTACCAGCATATGCAGGCATATTTTTCAAGCTTGCCCGGTGTTGATATACACTCAGAGTAACATCGCAAACATCGTATCCACCTGAGTACACAACACCAACACAGAAAAAAATATGAGTGATATTTTTCATACGCTGGCATACGCTCCTAGTACGATACCGTCGATACGCAATAGTGTGTCAGGGTCTCAAGCTGGTTTACAGGAGGGTCGTAATTGCTCGTAATTTCAAAATCCCAAATACTTAGTTACTACGTACTACTACATTCTACAACTACTGTGAATTATTGGTTACTTACAAGTTCACTTTAAAAGGAAATTGAAGAGATTTAAGAACAAAACGTATGAGAGTGAAGTATACACATAACCCATCTGCCAGTCTGTATGAACTACAGCTAGAATAACAAATTCACGACGGCAAAAAAGTGCTGACGCGTGATACGCTATTTTCGCTATTCACGTCGGCAATTGCTACTCCAAGTAAGACGCGGTCAAACGTAAAGCGCATGCGCGAGTATCGGGAAATGGCGGGGAAATGTCTGCCAAAATAATAGGAGTGAATCATTGAAATGAATATAACTGGAACGTTACCTTCAGATCAACTGCCTATCTTTTCTTGAAGCCAAACCTGACTGATTCGTATCGTATCGTAAAAATTTATTTCACGACGCTAGCCTCATCAACATAAGTTGGTTTTCATGAGGGGGGCGTCGTCAATTTATATACAAAGTGTTAATATTTACAAGAGAATAAATAGAAACAAAGAAACAACTATTTACAAAAGTGCATCTGGATACAGGAGGAGTGACCTGTTGTGCTATAGTATGCCTGAGTTGTATTGTTAGTTAGAATTTGAACATGTAAATTACTATATAATTACAGTATATAAGCCTATAGACATAAACGATTATAGATATATAGATTGTTTCTTGTTTAAGAGACTGACGATTAAAATATAAGTCACTGATAACATGACCCATATATTAACATTGGTAACAGAGTCAAAGATTAATATTTTGTTTGAAAATATGAATTGATTGTGCTTCTTTTGCTTCCCAAGAAAGGCTATTCCAAAGCTTTGCCCCGCTGTATTTATTTTTTTTAGGTTTTTTAAACGCTCTTCACATGCGTGTAAAGAATGGGACTGGCTTTTAATTTGGCTGAAGACAATACTATTTCCAGTCTTAAATACAGGGGCCAGTTGTATAAAAAAGTGATTAAAGTTAACTATGATTAAGTGCAAACGTCATCCAATAAGAAGTGCCTATTTGAGAGTTAATCACTATTTAATTACAAAATAGTGATTAAAAAAGTGATTTAAATGTGATAAAAAAGCAACGCAGTGTCAGCCGCGAGGCCCTGGGACCGAGGATGACCGCGGTGTTGAATTTGATAGATTCGATCGCGGCGACAGCGGCCAAAACAAAACACTAATATTGACAGGTTGTTGTACTAATACTGACATTTCAAGCAGATGGCACTATCAGTATAGAGATTCAAAATGCCACATAGATTAAATTACAGTCATGAATTCAATTAATTGAGCTTGAAGTCTTTCTGTTTGAAATTTGGTCACGAAAAAAACCCATGTAAAACTGTAAAACAAGTTGGTGTGTAAATTAAACGATGGTCCAGTTACAGTTTGCAGTCAACATTTTATAAACGTGTCCTTGCTACACAGATGCGACTGTAGACGGCGGTGAAGTTCTCTAGCCGATTTTGGGTCAACAGAATCCCCAAACGCGTTGTAACGTAACATTTCACAGTCTTTTACAGTACGTATAAATTTAGGCATGCGAGGCCCAACTCGAAATGAATCAATTCTAGTTATATTTACTTTATAATCTCGCATTGCCACCCCTACATATGCGTCGTCTGTGTGAAATGGTTTTCGTATACAGACATAATTAAACAATTTATTGAGAAGGTCGCTGGATAAAATAAAGAACGCACCAGGATTAAACCTTGGAAAGTGTGTCTCGTTATAGTATCTCCAACTAACTGTCCATTTACCACTAATTTCTCGATTTACCCTGATAGAAGGGTAGGTCATCCCTCCGTAAAATGGTCTTGGAAACTTAGCATTGACAAGATATTCCAACACACGTGGTATGCGCGCATAAACATCATCCGTCTGTTTTCATTGTATATTTTATATCAAATGTACTTGCCCACACTTGACCCATGTAGAACTTGCAGCGCCGATCATTTGTGCGCACGACGTTGACCACGCTTCACTGGTGTTTTCATCGATTTCACTCGATTTGATACGGCCCAGGAATATAATTTCAGGCAGTCATCGCTTTGGTAACTGTTATTTTCCGTATCTGAACTCGACGAAGATATTTGTATCGATTTTTGACCAGCTTGATTGTGATTCTCACTTAGTATTTATATACTTTAAACTTAGGCGAGAAGGCCATGTCTTCCTACTATGACGTATTAGTTACCAATTTCCCAACTTCGCGGTTTTCAAAAACTTTTGCCGTTAAAATTTGAAATTTTCAAATTTCATTGCCTTATTACTCTGTGAAAACAAGCTCAATTTTAAATCTGTTTTGTATTTTCATAATCTACGTTTCAAGACGATTCTAATGATGTAAACTCTCATTTTGTGACAGGGGCACTTTAACGCGGTGCTATATAACCGCCAATATTCACTTCTCAAATTTATTTATTTATTTATTTATTTAGCTTTGCCAACTAGGACAGGGTCACCACAACAGCATATGCCAATTACTGTGGGCCCTTTTTTACCTAACCCACCCTGTCAACTTTCCCTGTGGGAGGAAACCGGAGTACCCGGGGAAAACCCACGGCTTTCGGCAGAGCGTTGACTTTTACTCTTTTCACATGGGGACTGGGTTCGAGTCGCACTGAGAAGGTACTTAGTGAGACTCGAACCTGCAGCCCCAGAGGTGAAAGGCAAGTGCGCTAACCACTTGGCCACCGAAGCCCCATAAATTCATGTAGTGATGCGTTTTCAACATGTTTTGAAACTTCAACATTGAAAATTACTTCAATATCTATACTTCAATGTTGTATTTCACTTAAATTTGATACGTTCAATATTCAAATTAACATCAATGAGAGAAACATGTTGAAATTGAAGCAATGTTGAATTAAAGTGGCATGCTGAATTTGATATGTTCAATGTCGAAATTCACTTCAATACGGAAACATGTTGAATTAATATCAACATGAATATTGGCGGAAATCTGACGCCATAACTATCAGCATAGGCGTACCGGGGGGGGGGGGGGGGGGGGCGGCCGCCCCCCCAGTTTTTTGGGCAGTCGGGCAATATTGGATCAACAGTCGGGCAATTTCGGCTTGCCATAAAAAAAAATGTGACAAATTGTGTAAATTTTGTCTAAAATTAAGTCTAAAATTAAGTGAATTTGTTGGCAAATTTTGAGATTTTTCGAAAATCTTGTGTATGTTCCGAAAAATTGGTTGTCCGGAAAATTTTTTTGACCCCTAAAATGGTACACTGA